AAAGATGGATAAACATTTATCTTGCTCTATATGACAGTATTTCTCAATTATGTGTGATTAATCTCTTTTCCAGGCATTTGACATCAGTTTTTGATCATTGAGGGATCACCCAACATGTCAAATTACTATCCTGTTCACTTATGTCCAGTTCTTACATGGCCACAGTACAGTCTGTAGAAAGCATATTCTTTCTTGGAATGTCTATATTAGGAGAGTATCAGGAGAAAGTGGTGCGCAGAGATTCTTTGGAGATGTCTAATTAGAACAATTAAAACATGAGTATTCTGTAGAAATGTAACTTGGGACCTTCAGTTGGCAGGAGCCGGATTTAACAATATTACCTTAGAGGCAGCTGTGAACCTGGTGGTTGGACCGCAAGGATTTACATCTTAGCCCCATTACTTGTCAAGTTGCAAGACCTCAGCCTCTCCGCACTTCACTTTCCTTATTTATAAAAAGGGGGTAAGTATTGTTCCTGCCTTACACAGGAGGATTAAGTGAGATAAAACACTTTCAGCATTCAAACAATGTGTATATAAAGTAGGTATTAAGTAAATATAAGCCATAATCTAGAGAGACCTGGAGGTCTGTTTGATTGCTGACTTAAAAAAATCAAAGTTAACAAATTATTTTTTTCAATGTTACTTCACAACTTTGTAGTTAGAAATGATTTTTCTAGGTTGTGAGAAAATTTTCCAAATTAGCACATTCATAACTCAGGAAACACTGACTGTAGAAGAATCTGTAACATTTACATTGGTCTAGAGAGGGAAAACATCTTTTAGTCCCTTCATGTAGAAGAAATTCTGTATGCAATTAGTTTGTATGCAGCATATCATCCTTGGCATTCAAAAGCACTAAAAGCACACTCACTAATTTACAAGAGAGTTTTAAAAAACACTAGGCCTTAGAGTTCTGATGCTTTTTCAGAAAAACCCTTCAACACAGGGGCAGAGACTTGGATTAAGAGGACCAGGGAACTCAGATGGGCATGAGCCTGGGACAGATTTTTTTAACCTCAGGTTTCCCTAATTGCAGAATTGTCCTTTATATTTTAGTTATCACTTTATAGTTTACAATCACTTTTTAAGTAAGTATAATTCCTCTTCTCTCAAAGGGCAAAATTAACGAGTGTGTAACAGAATGCGCTGAGGACTGTTGAGCTGAATGCATAGCATCAGGCATTTAAAATGTAAAAAAATTCCAGACTTTTAAAATTAAAAGGTGGTAACATAATAACTACACCTGGTTGTTTAAGTGCTTCCGCTTTTTTGATGTATTTGTGATCATGTATTGCAGGTCATATGTTGGCAACTAGGAGACAGGAGACTTTTTCCAATCTCAGGTTTCCCTAACTGCAGAATTGTCCTTTATATTTTAGTGGGATTTGTTGCTTAAACAGAACTCTGAAAGTGATATGGCAGAAAAGAATTAAATACATTTGAAAAGACAATATTTTCTTATGTTAGCCTGGAAAAGTTTAAAAACAAAATAACTTTCTTTTGAAAGAAATAACATACCCACCCTCTAACATCAGCACAACCTAAAGACAAACAAAGCTTTGACTACTAGTTATTGGAACAAGTGTCTGCTTTAAAGGGATACCCTAACACATTCTGTCAATTTTGGGTAAGATTTTAAAGTACTGAATGTGTTCCTTCTTCTAACCATTTCTGCACACTCAGAGAGGGTATTTAGGTGGCCTGAGGGAAACGGAGATGTTTCCGGTTAATTTAAAACTTTGACCTAAGGCAACATTTTGAGAGCTCAGGAGCATTTTTCTTTCTTGCTTCTATTTTACAAAGAAAAGGCATTCTGCCTATCTACATTCCATTGCAGTTTCAATCTTTAGGATAGTTTCTACTTTCCATTCAAAAACTGTTGGAAAAGCATGTCAAATCTGCATTTTTAACAATGGAGGGCAGCCATTTGCAACAGCAGCTGATGGGGACTGACAAAAGAAATTACTTTTATAAAATACAGAAATCACCAGTTCTTTAAAAAATACAATCCTTCATATATTAATTCTTGATGGATGTTGTAAAACAAGGAAATGTATTTGATTTATATTACTATACCACTTTCAAAATATGAGTACCTACTGTACCTAGCAATTTAAAGTAACAGATGTCCTGCCTTTTCGGGTTACTGGGAAATACCACAGAAAAAGCAGTATGTCATAGCTTTCATACAGAGTATATTCAGGAAGTTGAGGTGCGATTTCTATTCAATGTGAAAATGGTGACATTCTAAACTTTTTAGGGAGTCGAATGATGGAAAGTTGAGAGCATCCCAAAGGGAACACGTGGAATCGACAACTAGACATCAATACCAGCCTTTCTGTTTTAACAAGCTCCTGAAATAGGATTGCAGATCTGTAAGCCTGGTATTTCGTAAGCCGGAAGTCAGGATAAACGTTTATTGCAATAATCTCAGTAAAACTAAATAAAATTTCTCTATGGGATTTCCCGTATTGCCTTGTTCTAACTCCTCAGCTAAAAGTGTAGTCAACAATGCTTAGTTAGCAATAGGATGAAAGACCTGACGTGTAATGGCAGAATAGCTACTTCCAATAGATTGCTTTAATCACACCCAACATTGCTTCTGTAGAACTATGCCAAGACTCACACCGTTTTTCACTGGAATTGCAGATGACTTTTTATTTTCTAACCCTACAAGGTAGTCTTCATTTATCATTGCACTTGGGTGGCCACCATGACTAGGCCATCTTGTCAAACCTATAGGGGAGACGGCTGGGCGGGCAGTGGTGGTGCAAGGGGGCTAAAGCCTCAACAACTGAATGCAAAGACATCGCTGGTGGGGATGACTCCACCTGTTGAGGTCGGTCAGTTTAAGCGGGCGGGCTGCGGCTTCTCTCCCGCTGAGGAAGGGCGGCAAGCACTCCCTCTCCCGCGAGCCTACCCGGAGGAGCTAAACTGTTAACTGCTAACAGCTGCAATCTCGGCCGCCGGGCTCGCCCCCGGCCGTCCAAGGGCGAGGGGATCTTAAGGCTACAGCAGCGCCGGTGCACAAAAGGCGGCACCTATCACGAGGAGGCACCCGCCCGGTCGGAGCCCGCGACGCCCGGCGCTGGGGCATCCTCCGGGGGAGGCGCGGGCGGCGCGGGTCGGGGGCGAGCCCAGGTGCAGCAAGAAGCAGGGCCCCGCCACGCGCCGAGGAAGAAAGCCTGACTCATGTCGTGGCGGCGGCGGTGGCGGCGGGCTCCTGGGAACTGAAACTCGTGATGCTGTTGCTGCGGAGAAAAGCCTCATTACCCATTCCGCAGGCGGGGGACACCACCCAGGGCGCGTACACCCGAGACCCGGGCTCCCGCTGCTTCTGCGGGCCCCACCCCACCGCGCCCCCTCCTCTGCCGCGGGCCCGCGCCCGCGCGCGCCGGCCGCTGGTGAAAAAAGAGCGGACACACCTAACCTGCGCGCCCCCGCACCCTGCCCCACCCCCACTCAGGCCGACTCTCACTGGCCGACCCGGATTCGCTCCCTCCACCGAAATTTTCCCCCTCCCCATCCCGGCGTCGGCGCCTCCGCCAGCCTTCGGCAATTTCCGTCGGGAGACCCGGCGCTCGGGAAGACCCGAAGACCCGCCGCCGCCGCCTCTGCCAGACCCGGCTTTATGTCTGCGGCACTGGGGCGCATGCGCAGACGCCATCTTCCCTCCTTCTCCTTTGCCTGCCCCCTCCCCCCGCCACCGCCGCCGCCTCCTCTCGCCGGCGGTCGCCCCTCCTCCTCCTGCGCTCGGGCGCTGGTCCCTCCTCTCCCGATGCCGCGAGAGACTGGGGGATACGGTGGAGCCGGAGAAGAGCACTAGTAACAACCACCACAGCCCCCTCCCCTCCGCCGCCGCCCTCCCTCGGCACCCACCCACTCACCCGCCCCGTTTGCCGACACCGACCAACCCCACCTTTCGTTCCTTTGAACGGCGTCGGCTGCAGTCGCCGCTGCACCAGCCCGTCCGGCCACCAACGCCGACGAGAAAGGAGCCGTCGCCGCCTGCAGCCCCCTCGCGCCCTGGCCGCGGGAGCAGCGGGGTGAGGACCAGCCGGCTGCGGAGTCACAGGACGAGAGCGGCTCGCACCCCACCGCGCTAGCGCACGTCCCGCCGCCCTCCGGGGAGGCTCGGGCGCCGGCCCCTTCCTCCCCGAGGACGTGAGCTGAGCCGCGGCGCCTGCCCCGAGGGAGGAAAATGCTCCGGCTCCATGGCTGCCAGTGATGGAGCGGTCCCTAGGCTCCCGCTGCCACCGCCGCCGCCGCGCCCCGGCCGTGCTCCGCGAGGACCCGGCGTCTCTGCGCGCCCGCCCGCGCCTCGTTGCTGGGCTCACCGTACCGGGCGCCCCGCCGCCGCCCCGCTCCCAGCCTCGCCGCCCCGGCCCCAGCCGCGGCCAGCGTTTCCTCACGGAGCAGCCGCCGCGAGCCCAGGGGGTTTGAAAGGGTCCGCGGGGCGCGGGGGGAGGGCCGAGCGGGGACAGCGGGGCCGTGAGGGGAGGTTTGAGCGACACTGAGCTCGTCGGGCTCGGCGGCGGGGCCGCCGGGGGTGGCCAGGGGAAGGCGACACCGCTCCGCGCTGCCTTCGTGCAGAGCGACCGGGAGGGCTTTGCAGCGACCGCCGCCGCCGCGGCGGGAGGAGGGGTTGGGGTGGCTTCTGAGTTGGCCAGAGAAGGTGGGCATTTCTCGGTTTTCCCACCCCCTCCCCTTGCCTCTTCCCTCCCTCTTGCCCCGCACCCCACGTGAAGCGGAATATAAAGGGGGGTGTGAGATTAGAGGGGAAAGTGAATGGCGAAGGACTAAAGGGGTCCCCCCTTCGGGTCCCCGGCCGCCCTGTTCACCCTCGTTCATCCTCCCTTCCCGAAGCTCGCCTTCGAAGGCAGGAGTGGCCCGCGCCTTCGGCTGAGGAGGAGGAGGAGGAGGAGGAGGAGGAGAAATCGCGCCAGGCGGAGCGTCAGGTCCCGTTTTCCTCCCTGGCGTCTTGAATACAAAGATTACGGTGGAGAAGGAAATTGCACTCGCCTCCTCCGCCCCCCGGTACCCAACACAATGCACCAGCCGCCTGAGTCCACCGCCGCCGCGGCCGCTGCAGACATTAGTGCTAGGAAGATGGCGCACCCGGCAATGTTCCCTAGAAGGGGCAGCGGTAGTGGCAGCGCCTCTGCTCTCAATGCAGCAGGTACCGGTGTGGGGAGTAGTAATGCCCCATCTTCCGAGGATTTTCCGCCTCCGTCGCTGCTCCAGCCGCCACCTCCTGCAGCATCTTCTACAGCGGGACCACAGCCTCCGCCTCCACAAAGCCTGAACCTCCTTTCGCAGGCTCAGCTGCAGGCACAGCCTCTTGCGCCAGGAGGAACTCAAATGAAAAAGAAAAGTGGCTTCCAGATTACTAGCGTTACCCCGGCGCAGATCTCCGCCAGCATCAGCTCTAACAACAGTATAGCAGAGGACACTGAGAGCTATGATGATCTGGATGAATCTCACACAGAAGATCTGTCTTCTTCGGAGATCCTCGATGTGTCACTTTCCAGGGCTACTGACTTAGGGGAGCCTGAACGTAGCTCCTCAGAAGAGACTCTAAATAACTTCCAGGAAGCCGAGACACCTGGGGCAGTCTCTCCCAACCAGCCCCACCTTCCTCAGCCTCATTTGCCTCACCTTCCACAACAGAACGTTGTGATCAATGGGAATGCTCATCCACACCACCTCCATCACCATCATCACATTCATCACGGGCACCACCTCCACCATGGGCACCACCATCCATCTCATGCTGGTGTGGCCACTGCATCCATTCCTGGAGGGCCACCTTCAAGCCCAGTATCCAGAAAACTCTCTACAACTGGAAGCTCTGACAGTGCTATATCAGCTGCACCAACTTCTGCTGTATCATCGGGTGGTTCACCTGCATCTGTAATGACTAATGTCCGTGCTCCGAATGTTACTGGCAGTATAGGTATAAATTCGGTTACTGGCGCTAACACAGTGAATAATGTTAACGTTACTGCTGTGGGTAGTTTTAGTCCTAATGTGACAAGCAGCATGCTAGGTAATGCTAACATAAATGCAGGCAATATTCCTAGTGCCGCTGGTGTGAGTGTTGGGCCTGGAGTTGGCAGCGGTGTTAATGTGAATATATTGAGTGGCATGGGCAATGGTACTATTTCTTCCTCTGCTGTGAACAGTGTCCCTAACGCAGCTGCAGGGATCACTGTGGGATCAGTTTCAAGTCAGCAGCAACAACCAACAGTTAACACCTCAAGGTTCAGAGTTGTGAAGTTAGATTCTAGTTCTGAACCCTTTAAAAAAGGCAGATGGACTTGCACTGAGTTCTATGAAAAGGAAAATGCAGCACCTGCTACAGAAGGTGTGGTGATAAATAAAGTGGTGGAGACTGTAAGACAAAATCCGATAGACGTGACCTCTGAGAGGGAGAGCACTAGTGGGAGTTCAGTGAGCAGTAGTGTCAGCACACTGAGTCACTACACAGAGAGTGTGGGAAGTGGAGAGATGGGAGCCACTGCTGTGGTGGTCCAGCAGCAGCAACCGGCTCTTCAAGGTGTGGCCCTTCAGCAGATGGATTTCAGTAGCGCTGGGCCACAGAGTATTTCAGCGGTTAGTATACCACAGAGTATTTCTCAGTCACAGATCTCACAAGTCCAAGAACTGAGCTATCCGCAAAAGCAAGGTCTTCAGCCAGTACCTCTGCAAGCCACTATCAATGCTGCAACTGGTATCCAGCCATCACCTGTTAACGTGGTTGGTGTAACTTCAGCTTTAGGTCAGCAGCCTTCCATTTCCAGTTTGGCTCAACCCCAACTGCCATATTCTCAGACGGCTCCTCCAATGCAAACTCCCCATCCAGGGGTACCAACCCAGCAGTTACAGTATGGACAACAGCAGCCAACAGTTTCCACACAGATGACCGCGGGCCATGGTAAATCAGTGACTCAGAATCCTACGTCAGAGTATGTCCAACAGCCCATCCTTCAAACAGTGGTGTCCACCGGCCAGCCCAGTTCTGCAGGAGTGGGAACAGGAACCACGGTGATTCCTATGGCTCAGCCACAGAGCATCCAGCTGCCAGTGCAGCCCACAGCAGTCCAAGCACAACCTGCAGGGGCATCTGGCCAGCCTGTTGGTCAAGCTCAAACAGCAGTATCCGCTGTATCTACTGGCAGTCAAATAGCAAATATTGGTCAACAAGCAAACATACCTATTGCAGTGCAGCAGTCCTCTACCCAAGTCACACCTTCAGTTATTCAGCAAGGTGCTCCTCCATCTTCACAGATAGCTCCACCTGCTCAAACTGCGATTATTCATCAGGGAGTTCCAACTAGCGGATCAAGCCTTCCTCAACAATTGGTCGTTACACCCCAAAGTACCTTGTTAACTGTGCCTCCCCAGCCACAAGGAGCAGAATCAGTAGCTCAAGGAGTTGTTTCGCAGCAGTTGCCTGCAGTTAGTCCTTTGCCCTCCGCTAGTAGTATTTCTGTTACAAATCAGGTTAGTTCAACTGGTCCTTCTGGAATGCCTTCAGCCCCAACAAACTTGGTTCCACCACAGAATATAGCACAACCCCCTGCCACCCAGAATGGTAATTTGGTTCAAAGTGTTAGTCAACCTCCATTGATAGCAACTAATATAAATTTGCCTTTGGCACAACAGATACCACTAAGTTCTACTCAGTTCTCTGCACAATCATTAGCTCAGGCAATTGGAAGCCAAATCGAAGATGCCAGGCGCTCAACGGAACCCTCCTTAGTTGGTTTACCTCAGACTATCAGTGGTGACAGTGGGGGAATGTCAGCAGTTTCAGATGGGAGTAGCAGCAGCCTAGCAGCCTCTGCCTCTCTTTTCCCGTTGAAGGTGCTACCGCTGACGACACCCCTGGTGGATGGCGAGGATGAGAGGTAAGATCATGTCATGTTTCTGTAGATACTCAACAGATCTGAAGTTAATCTTAGCACTTTAATATCTGCACAAAATTAGTCTAAGGCATGACATACTTCATTTTTGTATGTGCAAAATACATTTTTGTGGTAAATTTTCTAGAGCAAGAGTTATGAAGTGTTTTCAGAATGGATAGGAAATGTTATGAGTAATATGTAAAGACTATTTGTCTGAATAGTTATTGAGTATTAAAAATAGGCTTGGGGCACCAAGTGATTTTTGTTATTTATAGAATGATTTTTGGAAAGACTAATTACAAACAAACCCAAATTTTGCTAACCCACATAATAGTTAATCTGTTCTTTTTGAATTACTAACCCTTGTGAACATCTGTTGGGGAGGATTGTTCCCACATTTTGTCTCCTTTACTACACTACACAGTCCTTTTCAGGTCTGTGTTTGATCTTAGTCTGTGAAAGATAATGTTACCTGCTTTTCCTAGTCAGGCGCTATAGGAAAGATAACCTAATCTGGGTTATGTAGCATGCCCTCATACTGTAATTGGCCAGCTTTATACTTACTTAATGGTCATTTTATCTGAACAGTAAAGGAATGAGCATCCTGAAATATTTTGTGGGGAAGGAAGGGATATGCAGTCAATATAACTAGATTTATCTTTAAGAGTATTGTACTGGACAGTTTTCCTTTTACATAGTAGATTAAGGAGGTGGCCATTTTAAAGAGTAAAGAAAGAAAGTCTTGGAGGGTTGAATTTAGTAATGAAAATGAGACTACCTTCTGCTTAATCTATTCCACCTGTTCTTTCCTTAACCCCCCCCCCATACATGAAACCTAAAATGTATTACTAAACCATTGTTTTTTAATTGGATTGGAATAAAGTTTTAATCACTCTTATTGAATTAAATTTGTATATTTGAAGCAGGCTGTCTAGAAAAGTTGTGAATTCTCTCATCCATCTGCATTGCTTTAAACTATGTTGATTTTAAAGGAATGTTTTTTATCCAAGTATGTCAGTCTGTGACTAACCTTGGGCAAAGTAATATAGGAGTTATGACAGGAACTATTCATTGTCACTAGGAAACTTTGAATAAGCCTGCAAGATATTTAACTATTTCAGTATTGGAGATTTTTGTGACTGAGCTTTCTTCATTCCAACAGAAAATTTATACTCTAAATGTATATTTGTGGTTTTCACTTTGGAAAAATTAAGCATATTTCTGAAAAATTGCAACTTTGGAAAAAGATAACAAAGGCCAAATGTCTCCTTGAGGCTTTCATGGTTTTTCTTTTCTTTTTTAAAGTATATTTAAAAGTCACAAGATTAAAGACATGGCTAATTGCAGTTAAAAATCTCATTTTTCAAGATTTTTATTTTCAGTTATGTAGTTAAAATCTTATCTAAACAAATGTATTTTGTATCATTTATATAAGACTGTTCTTTAAAAAGTGGATTTCTAGAAGGTAATTTCCTTAATAGTCCTATTATATTTGTTGTAAACCTTTAATTTTATTATATGCTAATACTTAACCTGTAATTGCTAATAACCTATAATTTTAAACAATTATTTACTTTAAATATTATTTTCCAGATCTAATGGTTATAATCTGAATGAAGGTCCTATTTAAAAAAAAAAAAAAAAAACAACGGTACATTATGTGGATGATAAATTTAAGAAATAAAAGACAGGTGAAATACACAAATGAGAAACATATTTGAATTCACTCTGCCTTGATTTTTGTTAGTTACCTTTGCAGTCTTCTGGCATTCCTGCACTCCCCTCCTCTCCCAAATCTGCCCATGATAGGGTTTTTCACAATTTGCTGTTGCATACAATAAGTTAGATGTTACTAGTTACAATCCTGGTTTTTGAGTCTAGGGATATAGTCCCAGTTTAAGATACTAGAACAAAATTTTGACATATAGTAACCAAGATAAAGGTCAATTAGGGACAAATATGTAGAAAGGTTTGGAATTAAAGGAACAAATAGATTCTAAGAAACATGAGATAATGGATTTAAAGTAACTTGTCTTAAGATTAGCTGTGTTGAACGTACTACATAGTCAACCTTTTGTTAGTTAATATCAAAAGTAAATTATCAAAACCAGAAAATTTTTGTTTCAGAGGTAGCCTTGAAGCTCTGAGAAATGAAAATGTTTCACCCCTAAAATACCTGTAAAGGTCAGAAAAGATAAATATGTATATTTGCTTCTATTTTAAACTGCATATTATTTCTCTTATTAAAGTCTGAAAAAAGAAATGTTTCAATTTGCCCTTAAGAGAGATTGTGAGGATAGCTTCCAGAGAAAAAAGTGATGCTTAAGAATTTTTTTGATCTTTGTATCTCATGTTAGCTTGTTTGTTATTTGGCTCTTCTGCTTGGTCTCAATTAATTTGGTCACTGTTAGTTTCTCATGGGATAAAGGAGTACATTATAATTTCAGTATTACGACTCAAAACATATAGCAGTGTAACTTGTGGTGGTAGGACAAATGAAGTATGGCTATTCTTTAATCATTTTTAAGAATAGTGTCCTAACACTTTACATCTTAAGATGTATATTGGACCTGTGGGAAATGTTTTTCGTTGGCCACTGGGAGACACTGTAAACATCAGGAACAAAAGTATTTTGTTTTTTAAAAACTATTTTCATTAAAAAAGTCTTAATTCCTTATTTTAGATTTTAATATGAATTTAAGCTTTATACTATATGGATGATACACATATTTCAGATTGACCTAGAGTCCTTTGTGTTTTGTGATATTACTACTGCCTCTAATAAGGAATTGGTCAAACTTCTATTCAAGATTAAGTTCAGATGTTCCCTCTTGAAAGAGTCTCTTCACCCAGGGAAGATAGTTTCCTTAGCACCTTTTCTCGTCTTCTATTTAAGGCACTCCACACATTTACCCATCTTACCCACCAGATCGAGTTCCTCAAGGACAAAAATAAATATTTTTTGGATGAATTAATGAGTAGACCTTTTTCTCTTTGTTTTTTTTTTTTTTTAATCATAACTTAAAATTTATTTTGTCTCTAACCTTACACACAGTGGTTAGAGATGTGGCATCGTTAGTTGGTGTAAAAATGGAGAAGAAATGAAATTGTTTTTTGTAATTCTTTTACCTTGAAATCCTATCTTTCAGATAGAGTGCCTGTTAATGTTAGGCCCTCAAATACTTATCAAAGAGGAATGAGATTTTGTTTAGGAGTAATGCTCATTTTATCTGCTTTTAAGGATGGTAGCATCAGATAAGAGCATAAATTACAGGTTTTCATTTTTTATTTAGGTTGTATATATACTTGTATATGCACAGTCACATGATTATTAACACAGAAAAGCTTCCTTTCCATTTCCCTTTCCCAAAAGCATTATTTTCCACGTCTCTCTAGACAGTTATTGTGCTATTTACCTCATAGTCTCTAAATACATGCTTCTATTGCTACTACATTTATAACATAACTAGATGGTTAGTTAGAATTATATACTCCTGAATTAGACTGCTTAGATTTGCTCTTTCCTCTGTCATTTAATAAGTTTTACTTAAGGTCTGTTGTGCCTCTAAACCTGTTTTTAAAAATGGGGACAATTCAGAAAATAAGTGGCTTAAGAACATGTGATGTATTAAACAATGGAATACTACTCACTTATAAAAAAGATGAAGTCTTGCCATTTGGATGAACTGGAGGGGATTATGCTAAAGCAATTTAGTCAAAAAGGAAAAAAAAATACTGTGTGATTTCACTACTATATAGAATATAAATAAAAAAAAAAAGAATAGACAAAACCAAACCAAACAAACCCTAGTAATCTAACTGTAGAGTTGAGGCTACCAAATGGGGGGAAGGGGTGTTGAGGCAGCCTGACTATAGGGCAAGGTTATTGGTGTTCTGGTGATGGGCATGGTATGGTGATATATATTTTAAGAAGTTTGAGTCTGCATCTCTGAATCATACACAGTATTGTATACCAATAGTACCTCCATGGGAAATAATGCAATTAAAAATAAAACTTAAAAAAATGAAGATAGTAGTACTTAGCTCATATGGTTGTTACCAGTATTAAATGAATTTGGATAACCCTTACAGCTGCTTCTTAACTTGTATCCTAAGTGTTAAGTAAAATACTCAATGCTTTTGTTTTTGGCTTTATTAACTCACTGCATAGGAAATGAAGTTTTAGCTCTGTTATTACTGTGTTGCCAATTGATCCAACCCCCTTCCAGCTAGTACCCCTCCTCCTAATAGTAACGATAACATCACCATTCATTATTCAATATTCTTGTAAAATAGAACTACTATTCTAGGATCCCCTTCACTTCGTTCTTCCATTACACCTCCATGTTTCAGTGACCCTTGTCATGTTCATTCTTGGTTTACTTGATGTTTCCAAATGGTTTTAGTTTACCCTAACACATTAGGTTCTGTGGTTGGGTAAAGACTATTCTGTATAGTGTCCTGAATTCTCATCTGTTGTTCCATCCCAGCTGTTATATATAGTATAGGTATTTAGCATAAACAATAGTGGGTGCGCCCTTCAAGTTTCCATCTGTCAGCATAGTCTGATTGCTTTTGTTGCCATTTGCAAATATTTTTGTATGTTTTGGGTTTTACATTTTGAGATAATCTTTCCTTAGATTTCTAATAATTCTGGGTTGTCTCCTTGCCCTTAATGTAAGGAACTAAAGAGCTGATGAGAAATTCTGAGTGTTACTTTTTGTTAGTTTTGATTTGGCAGGTCATCATCTCTTCCCTCCAAACCTCGTTTACTTACTTTTGTCGATAGTTATATTTCTTTCACCTTTTCATCAAATATCTCTTGAGATGTTCATATATAGTATGTATGTTGTCAGTTTTATCTTCTGAAAGTTTCTCTTCCCTCTGACCTTTATTCTGGATTGATTGCCCTCCACTCTTGGTACACAGCTACTATTCTAAGACCCCTTCACTTTGTTCTTCTGTTACATCTCCATGTTTCAGTGACCCTTGTCCTGTTCGTT